TCATGGGGTAATTTTATTGGTATTTTTAAATGACGTTAATATCGATCGATATTTAAACAATTGAGTTCAAACACGCCCGCGAACATAAATGCAAGCGATTGCTCTCAGGGTATCTTGAAGCATGCGTATGCCCAGGCATTACCTCCATGGAAAAAAAGGTGGTTGAGGAAACTCGAAAAAGAGCGGTAATATTAAAGAAAAAAGGGAACTGCTGTAATAAAATGGTTCGTAATTCTAATTCGTTTATGCTTTGAGAATTTGTTTCTGAAGGTTATTTCAACTGAAATATTAAATAATTTAATAATAATAATAATAATAATAACAATGTATTAAAATTGCAACCCAGTGGGTTGAAGTTGTACATAAAATGTTAAGAACATTATAGTGACAATAAAATGTTATATGTTTGAGTGAACCCCAGTGAAAAGACTGCTACTTGAACTTTTAAAATTACTGTACTTAGGATAAAAGACAACATTATAATATTGGAAATTAAAAAGTGCATATGGACTAAGAGAGCATCGGAATCTATCGGTCTTAAATTTTGCCACTTTGTATATATTGTTTGTTCTTAAAAGACGATTGGCTTTATCAATTAAAACGTGATTCATTTTGTCGGAAGGTTCAGTTATTTTGTAAAAGAAAGTTTTTCACAGTTCTTCCCTTCGTTTGTCTAAAGTACACATATTTGCCAGGTTCAGGGCTGCATCATAGTGTAGGTCAGGAAAAATTATCTTCAATGCACGACTTTGGGCAGTCTCTAAAAGTTTGCATTGCTCTGTAGTTAGTCCTGCATGACACAGGGCAGGCATATTCTAGAATTGAGCGCACAATACTTTGGTAAACTTGAATTAAGTCAGCTGGGCTTAGCTTGGCTCGCTTCAGTTTAAATTTAAAAGATTTATCATTTTATAACTTGAAACGCAAGTTCTGCGTCAGTACGCAAAACTTTTTGCAAATTTGTAAGTTTTGTCAAACCCAAAAACATGTAGCAGATCAAGGTAAAAAAAGCATTGTTTGCTATTAGTAGCATGTTAAAAAATCATAACTTTAATGTGTTCACTAAATGTGCAGTATTTGATACGCACGTTAGTATATTTTAAATTATGCATGGAGATTTAATATGGTAATGGATATAAGAATGGCACATACGGAATTTTTAAAGGAACGTTGGGTGTAAAAAAAGAGCACTAGTAACTTAGTTAATTGTACGTAACTTAGTATATTATGAAAAGCGGGAGATACCCACTTCTTTTAAGTATGAAGCTGCGATTTTTTAATACTGATTTAAATCCCCTCTTCGAAAAATTGTATTACAACAGCATGCTATAAAGATCTACTCAAGAAAAAAATTTGCTTGGGTAATTTGAGTACGGAATGAACTGGACACTTGGCTCGTCATTGATTTTTTTACGAAAATATGCCAGAAAAATTTATACTGTCCTTGATAGAGTAAAGAGAAAAAGATAATTTTAGACAAACATTGACCAGGGAAATATCTACAAGGAGAAACGGGCTATTGTACCAACATCTTGTTGAAATTTTTACACTGCAATTCTATTTAAATAAGCCAATTCCACAGAAATATAAGGAATTGATTGCCAAACTTAGAGTTTCATCACATAATCTAGCTATATAAACTGGAAGGTAAACAGTCACAAATAAAATTTCAGAACCTGTAAACTATGTATTTTAGATGATATCGGGGAAGGATTTCATTTTATTCCTTGAAGAATTTAAAAATGTTTTGGTACAGAACAATTGGGCAGAAATACATCAAACAATTTATTAAACAAAGCAAAGTGCTTTTAAGCTGATATAACTGTTATTCATTAACTATGTTTCACAATTAAACAACGTATAAAAAGTTCTTAAAATATGCATCGGACCTAAGATAAACGTCAGACTGATGATTTTTTATCATTACTACTAGTAGTTGTATTGTTGTTGTTTTTATGACTATATTTTTATTGCTTTTCATTCTGGTGAGCTATAGGGTGCAAGGGTTAAATAAATTGATTTTCACAAATAACATGGACCTCGTATGGAATGATCAGCAGTACCCTCAAGTCATTCGAATGTAGTATTGTATATACTAGTTGGGATAACCATATTTAAATGCTAGTTAAAGAATTGAATAGACGGGAAATTGCTTTAAACAGCTTCACAAGGATTTAGACCCCTCGGGAAGAGATTTGAACGAGTATCAGGAGTCAAAAAAGTCCTCTCACGGGTGGACAATGCTGCTCAGTTTGACAGCTAAACACGGTGTTTGTCTCTCTCTCCTCCGGTGGCACGATTGTCGTCATCTGACCTCGTGACCACGTAGTTCATTAACTCCCAGGTTGAGAAAAAAGGAGGTTTTTTAAAGCAAAAAAATACAAAATAAGCTTTTTATTTGTGTATTTGGATAAAGATATCGTTAGTTGGGCATGTTTTCTGAAGAATATACAGGTACTCCGTTCAGGCCATTCCGACGATCTGACGAGAAACCTTTAATACACATTTTAAATAAACACGGATTTGTATGTATGCCAACTAACTGCCTTGATTGCAGCCAGAGAGATCTGACAGAGGCTGGTTACCGTGGTGTTAATATTATGAACATACATAACTGTATTATGATATACGCGTCAGCTGCTAATTGGAGAAGAGTAAATGCGAAAAAAAAAGATCCTTTTGTTAGTCTTTGTAAAGAAATGTTGTTTGCGTAGCGCACAAGTCCCCCGCTTAGTGTTAAGCATACTTTTTCTATATGATTTGCCAGGGTTATATAAATACGTTTAGCTTATTCAAACATCTTTGCCGTGGTGCCATTGAGTGACTGGGTGGTTTAAGCCTTTAATTTACCTGGCAATTTTTTCAGTGCAAGGACGCAAAACTGCGCAGTTAGTTGACACGTTAATCGAGTCCCAGAGAGGCAAGTTGGGGAGGAGAAGACAATTGGTACCTTACTGTCTATGATTACAAGTAGGTCGCAACAGAGGGAATACCAAGTACAATACTTAAACATTTTAATATTTTCATTATTTTTACAAACAAATGAATTAGACAGAGGTCACGATTGCTTTTTTAAATGTTTGTAATTTTCCGAGAGAATGTTTTACCCGCTTTCCAGAAACTGTGTTCGGGGTAAAATATTTGCAAAATGGGCAAACGTATGACAGACCTGAATGTAGATGTCTAAGAGATTGTAATATAGTGAACAACTACAAAAATGGGATAACCATGCACACTATACCAAGACATGCATTGAGTATGTGGGCCGTATTTTTTATTTGCAGAAATGCATCTGATATATGTTTGGTGACCTTTAAAGCGGTGGGGAGGGGGGTAGTTAATCTCTATCTGAGAGCACTTCATGTACAGGTGTTGTTTTTTTTTTCATTGTTAATTCAAAATCAAGTCATCTACCGGGAATTTTCATTCACTTTCACAACACTCCTTTCTTAATGCCCAGCTCGTCGAAGGAGTTATCAGTGTATGAAGAAAAACCTAATTATCATCGATATTATGTGTATATTACATATATACAGTATATATTTAAGTATTTTATTCCTGGGATCTGGAGGGGGTACTGTAATAGGTTTCTCGAAAAAAATGTATATAAATAATATAAGAGTAACTAACACTAGTGGGCATGATTTGATCTTAAAGTTCAATTTAAGATCACAGATTGTCTTACATGATCTTAAACCATGAGTAAGACCATTTGTAGTCTAACAGCCAATTAAGTTGTCTCCCCTTACACATTCTCCTATTGTGAGCAAAGGTGTCCTCTATTTTGAGAGGAGGCGACCCCATTGTGAGTGGAGGAAACTGCTTGACCACTTAAGTAGATGTTAGATCATTTTTGAACTTAAAAGCAGATTCAGTCCATCTTAAGACAACTGCTGTAATGATTAAGATCGTGTAAGATCACTAGTTATCTTAAATTGCACTTTAAGACAATATCCAGCCCACTAGTGTAAGTAAAATGCAATTTATCTAGTTGGAGTTGTATGTAAAGAACGAGATTTACTACATCGTTATACATGTATGACCCCTGATGTTTTCCCTTCAAGCCTTTAAACATGTTTTCCGTTGCCCCTCTACACAGTACCTGTAACATAAACGTGCTAACTCTGTAAGCCGCCATGCTAGAACACACGTGTATTATTCAAGTCGCTTACAACATTGTAAAATAAGAGGTGGTCGCTTAAGACAAATAAAATGTTACATCTCCCTCTTTATAATCAACTAAGATTAATAAAGTAAATAAAAGCATGTAAATTAAAATAAATTCAGTTTTTGGTGTTCACAGTTCTTTGTGAGTGTTCACTTTAACTTAAAGTCTTTCAATGTTCAATGTGAGAAGAGCATTCAGAGTCTCTGATCTAGTCCTTTTGTAAATAATTTTTTTTTACTTTAACTTAAAATCATTTCATGCTCCACAGAGAATGTCTTTAACAGTCCATTTAAGTGAAAGAAAAGAAAATTAAAGAAAAGTCTTTGGCTGAGTCTTTGCATTATAACTTAAAACTGCTTTAAAGCAAGTCCACATGAAAATCCACATGTAGTATTAAATTAATACTGAATCGTTCACAAAACACAAGTTATAAATTTAATCTGTCTGGCGGTTTCACCACAAGACCAGATCTTGTTACAATCCTTGGGGTATTAATTGCTGGTGTCACTGTTTTTGTTGGTGTTTTACACTGATCCTTGACAATATCTCGGGTTGGTGTTACTGTCTCCTAAGGTACTATATGCTGATCCTTGATAGGTGAATGTAATGGCTCATCACATGGCTCCAAGTCAACAAAATTAGGGTTATAGTGATGTGCTTTTTCTGTTGATGACCTTAAGTGCTGACGATTACGTCTGTATACACGGTCATTTCCTTCCACTATGTATGATCTTGGATGTGTATGACGTTTAACAACAATGGCTGGTGCCCATGTTTTTGAACCTGGATGAGGCTGCATTCTCACATGTTCTCCAGGGCTGAAAGCTTTCAGTTATTTAGCGCCTTTCCTTTGATCATAATAATATTTCTGCTTTAGTTTCTCCTGGCTAAAATGACGTTTCACCTCTCGTTGGTTATATGCCTGTGGTTTTAACAGATTTCGAGCTGCAGGCAGTGTGTTTCTAGGTCTGCGTCCCATTAACAACTGCGAAGGGGACAAGTTTATGCCTTCCAAAGGTGTAGTTCTGTAGTTGAGTAGAGCAAGATACTTGTCATCACATTTTTTCCACATTTTCTTCACAATTTGAATAGCTCTCTCAGCTTCCCCATTTGAACCTGGGTACTGAGGACTGGAGGTCATATGTTCAATATCATACACTTTGCAAAATTGTTTGAATTCACATGAACTAAACTGTGGTCCATTGTCTGATCTGATTTTAAGAGGTATGCCATGACAACTAAACACATATTTCATAGCATTGATTGTAGCAGTTGTAGTTGCGGCATTCAGTTCTACAACATCAATGTACTTTGAATAGTAATCAATGAGAAGTAGGTACTTCTTTGCTCCAAAGTCAAATATGTCACAACCAACTTCAGTATAGGGTAGATCTGGAGGGACGGTCGGTTTCAACGGTTCTGCGGGTAACCTGTTTTGATACTCAGAACATTTTATGCAGTCTCTCACCATGTTTTCAATTTCCATATTCATTCCAGGCCAAAACATGACTTCCCTTGCACGCTGTTTGCATTTCACAACTCCAAGATGTGACTCGTGTATCAAGCTAAGCATGTACTTTTGTAATGACGGTGGAATAACTATTCTGAGGCCTTTGTAGATTACACCATCAAACACAGACAATTGGTCTCTGGAGTCCCAGAAATTTCTAATTTCATAAGGTGTCTCTCTACGCGTATCTGGCCATCCTTGAACAATTGTGTTGTATAGAGGCTGTAGCTCTCTTTGCGTTCTTGTTCTAATATCAGAGTATCTCTCGCTGCTCACAGAGATCATATCAATTAAACATAAATCATCTAGTCCTGTCACGTCAGAACTGGTGTCTGGTAAGTATGCTCTCGACAATGTATCTGCTACCACCATATCTTTGCCTTTCCTGTATACAACATTGAGATTGTACCACTGTAGACGTAGCAACATCTTCTGCAATCTCATTGGAGCTGACAGTAATGGCTT